GGCTCCATCTGGACATGAGGACCAGACACCGGGCACCGGACTCCGGACTGTCTGGAACCCCGTCCGGACGTCCGGACGGTTACCATGCATCCAAGAGCCAACACCTAAGACAACAAAACGACAAAAAAAGAAGAGAGCGAGAATCACGTATTCGTTTTTTCGTGCATGGACTGCACAGCTGTGTCATCCTATTTGAACAGGGGTGTAGGGCACTGCCCCCAACGAACTGACATGTAAAAGAACGAAACGACCCAAAAAAAACAAAAAAAGGAGACAACAGGAGCATTTTCGCCACGCTTTTTCCTTGGGTCCACCCTGTCCCTCAGTCATTTTCCCAAAACTGACCGGAATCAATCCCAGCCCAGGTAGTTCAGGATTATTTCTATTTATCTGATTCCATCAAGGTTCAAGGTTACATATGTTTATCAACAGTTCATGCGTGCACCATTCCGCCACATGGGGCTGGTTTCGGGCCACACTCTTCTTTCCCTTTGGGAGACAGGGAGCAGCGTCAGAGCTGGGGTTCTGATTCGCGCCTAACACAGCTCCACATCTGTCCTGAAAATGTCTCAGCCTCAATCTCACCACTGGATTAAGCAACCGAGTGAGTTAACTGCCTGATGCAATTTCATCCAACAAATCATCATGCATTTTCCTCATTTTCTTCACGTTTTAAGTTCTTTCCTTTGTTTTCGATAGAGCATTCGGAAACAATTTCGTCCCACAACCTAGGTTCGCTCAGGACGCAGCATAAAGGGAACGGGTACGTGTCAAAGAAATAGCATGCAGGAATGACCGTTGAATTGCCCCCAAGGTTGAACCCCTGCTGCTTAGATTGAAATCCAATGATGGGAGGACGCAGCGAGAAGAAAAGACTCAGGATGCAGTAAGGTGTGTGTGGCCACTCTATTCAAAGTAAAACACAGTCACTAGAACGTAAGAACATCCTGTAGTAGTCATACCGAAGTGAATGCATTGCCTAGCATTACATCAGCCATCAGCTAGTGAGAACAAACGGCCAAACCAAGATGCTATATCTCTGAACCTTGTTTATAAACTTCAGATGCCTCCCTAATCGAATATCTCAACTGAAAATTGAGGCAGGATAGAGGAAGGGAGGAAGGGAAGACGAATCCCACGAAGGCAGGGAGTACGGAGGAGAAAAAAGAAGAACAGAGGGAAGGAACCAGGGCAGTGAAGGAGGGAGGAAAGGGGGCAGGAAGGGAGGGTGGGTGAGTGAGTGGGTTAGTGGGTGGGTGGGTTGGTAGTTGAAAGGAGGGGGAGAGTAGGCAGACATGGAGGGCGGGGAGGCAGGGCATGAGGTGGGGATGGAGCAAATAAGGGACCAAGGAACAGCGGGAAAAAGGGGCAGTAGCAAGAAGGGACTACAAAGGAGGATGAAGAGGGCCTAGCTCAGTTGGTACACCCATGAACTGTTGAAATACAGACCTGCGTTCGAATCCCTATCAGTTCAGATGAGTAAATAACTTTGAATTTACCTGGGCTCCGTGAGTTTGACGATGACATCTCAAGGCCATTGCCGTTTTGAAAAAAGAAGAAGAGGGGAGGACGAGGAGACATTTTAACAGGTAGGTAAGTTGGCAGGCTCTTCACAGGATGCAAGCGATCAAGGACACCAGAAGGTACCAACCTGTTGGACCTATCCATGAAAAGGATCGATGCATGCTCGTATTCAATGGCATGTTTGATGGCCCACTTGGATGTGTTGTCCTTGATGACCCTTTTTCCACCCCCCCAGGTCCTGAAACACACCGATCGGACGCATCCTCAAGGTCCTTTGGTTCGGCACCTAAGATTCGCAAAGTTTGCCTGGCTGTGTTGGAAATTACAGGAGCAGGGTCTCTCGCAAGTGAACACACAGCGGAAGTAGCATTTACGTATACCTTCCTGTCCTCCACATCCGTAGCCCTTGCTGCATCACTTATGGCAATCCGAAGGCCAACAGAGTTGCTGTCCCTCAGCACATCATCAGAGTGAAATGATGAATCTGATCCAAGGGATCCATGCAGAGCCGGCGACGGTGGAGTCCCATTGGGAGGAGAGGCAGCTGAAGACAAGGGTATCTCGCCCAGGTTTCGCATGTGATCTGCTCTGATTGGGGCTGAACCCATTACCTTTGTGTCTGGTGATTGCTGATCACCTCCTTGAGTCAATCTTGAGCCAGGATTCACCAGTTGTAATCCAAGTCCATCTCTCCCTGGATCCGATGATGGGTCTCTACCGTGCATCAAGCCTGTGGTTATACTGTTTTGCGGAATGCCTGCACCGATGTGGAGATCAGCACCTCCCATACCTTGAAATACAACACGCGGTGATTGCCTTCCTGGCCGCAGAGCTCCTGGCAGTGTTATTGCTGGGAACGAAGAACTCGGGTGCAGACCCTTCAGTGTTTGCTTCGGCATCAATGGAGGCTTCATGTATGCTGCTGCGGCCAGCTGAAATCGAGGCTTATGGGCATGGGCCAGCCGCATTATGGCTGCAGACAAATGGGAACATATGGACATTAGAAAAAAAATGCAAATCGCTTTCGCCTCAATGGTGCTACCCACTAAAATAAAGTGACAGGATCGTATGCAATAACATAACAACCTTGTCTCAGTCGAAGTTCTAATAGAACATGAGAAGCATCAAGATTATCAGCACACAAGCGGTAAGATCATTAAACCACCGGTACACACCATACATAAGCTGCGGGCTGCTTTCAGAGGCCCAAACGCAACAAAGGCCGCCAATTGAATAGGTCAAATGCGGCTCCAACCCAACGTTTTCGGATGGGCAACAGATTTTGTTTTAGCAAGGCTGGGGCCGTGTACTGGTGGTTGAACACACTGGCTGGTGAAACCAGAACCGTGAACAAATTGGATGGTGAAACTGCAACACAAAAGGTGAACATGTTGACATTACAATAAATTGCATACAGAACTCTTTTCTCAGTGGTGATGCCCATCCAGAGAGAGTGGCAGAGCAGTACACCATAACAAGACCACCTCTTCTTAGTCCTCTCGTGAACAAACATGAAAGGTGTCAAGATAAGATTACCAAAACCAAGTGACAATATTATGAGTATACTGGCTGGTACACAGATTGGTAACGCAACTGCTACTCAATTCAGCATCAGAGATCGATCTCCACCATTGTCCACAGTCAAGCAACAAGAGACCAACAGCCTTACTCCTCTAGAAAATAACGCTTCCCTCGAGCATGATTGCCGAGCTCTTCCCTCCACAGCAATGACCGACGCTTCCTTCAGGCTTGCCATGGACAGTCAAGAGAAATCACTGGTTAATGATGGCCAGTGCCTGGAGATCCCCATGATCTGTAATGATGAGCAGTGTCTGGAGATTGTCAACGTTTTTTTTTTTCCATTGTATTCAACGGGTGAAAGACTTGGGACATACAATCACACTAGGACTTCTTTGACTGAATCTGACCGCAACCACTGCCAGATTTTGTTGTAGAGTTACTGGAGTGGGTATGGTCTTACAAGCAACTCCTTAATGATGCCAGGGCAGATTAAAAGAACTGGCCCCCGAAACCAAAAACCAATCCAAAACAGAACCGACAATGACCCGCACAGAATCAGCCTGAGATTTATGCGGTTTTCTGAGTATTGCTGCTTGATGTGAAACGGTATTCACCTGTTCGCAGTAGCTGATGCAGATCCCAGGGCTCGATCCCTAGTCCTCACCTTACCTGTGCACAGAAGCTGTGTCGACCCCGAGAGTTGAACCCGTGACCTGTGTATTTGTAACAGTTGGTAGACTGTCGTAGAGTCCGTAGGTAGTAGGGGTTCGATCTGTAGACCTGTCGGGTAGAAGTCTTAGCAAGGTCTAGAAGTCGTAGCTGTAGCTCCTCCGAAAGGTCAAGGCCGTAGCTGCTACGGTCCTGAAGGGTCAAGGTCGTAGCTGCTACAGTATCGAAAGGCCAAGTCCACGGCCTTCCGGAAGGTCCTAGTAGTGGACTTTCGAAGCTGTTCACGTTTAGGCTGAGGCAAGTCGGCAAGTGGTGGAGTCCACCCGTGCTGAGTCAGCAGTCCCAGTCCCAGTCAGTCCTCGTCCAGTCAAGCAAGTGCCGCATGGGACTGTGTGCACCACGGGCATGGAAAAAGCGGCGAGGTGGTCTGCAGTGAGCCCGAAGACGAAGTGGGCGAGAGAAGGAGCTTAGCCATAACGATAGGGTAGCAGCGGCCATAGCCGCCATAGCTGATAGGACAGTGTAGCGTGTATGTGTGTGCGTGTGTGTACAGTGTGGGATATCCAGGGTGATCTTGTGTGTGTGTGTGAACAGAGAGTTGTACAGGCGCTGTGCCGCCATAGCCATTTGAAGTGAACTTGTATCTGAACTGCGTTCTTGGTTACTATATCTCTGAGTTCTAAGTGGGCGCTTGTCGCTAGTTTGCTGCGCAACCTGTTTGCATGCATATGAAGTGTGAATGAGAGCAAGTCTCATTGCATTGGTATCGGAGCTGGTACCCGCTATTCCACGCGCGTCCGGTGTGTGCCGCAAGGAGAGCTACGCGCCATAGCCGAAGTCGCCATCGGAGAGGAAGTCCGCCATAGCGGATCCGGAGGTTGAAGAAGCCGCCGCGCGCAC